TTGCCCCACCCGAGTGTTGAATGTAGAATGCATGTTGTGTTTTTACTACTTATCTTGTTTTTATATCGTTTATTGTGTATTGTACCCCCTCCCTAATGGTTGTAAGCCGCCCTGAGTCCCCTCGGGGAAAAGGGCGGCCTATAAATTTTAATAAAATACCAAAAAAAAAAATACATACATACACACACACACATATATACACACACACATATATACACACACACACATACACACACACACACACACATATATATATATACATACACAACACATATAGGTGTGTGTGTGTGTGTGTGTAGTATGCATGTAGTATGACTAGTCATCGATGATATGCAAATATCTCTCCCTCTTTATGATTGGTTGCTGGCAGGGAGGGACAGAACCCAAGTTATAACATTGCAACATGAAAATAATTCCAACCAATAAAATCAACCCAATTTAAGTAACATGTTTGCAGTTGCTTCCTGCATATACATGTTTTTAAACTGACATCATTATCTGTCTGTCTGTCTGTCTGTCTGTCTGTCTGTCTGTCTGTCTCTCTCTCATCTTCTATCAGAAATTGGTTTTAGATTCTTAAAAATTGTTTCTCACCATTCATATGGCACCAGACCAAAATAACTTTTAGGAAAGACATTCTCATATATTCTTCATTCCATTCTTTGTTACAGAAACAAAGAAAAAATACATATCACATTAGAAATGGAAGTGTTTCAAAGAGAAAATCGCATTTTGAATAAAACCTATAAACCTCAACATTACAAGGCAAAAACAACATTTTTCACAGGGCATTTTTGGTGCTTGTTCAAAGGATCTTCCAAATTTATCAGTGTAGAAAGTTCTGAACCCATGTTTTACTCTGTCACTGTGCCTCTGTTGCCAAAAGACAACTAGAATTCATTAAAAGAGCATTTCAGATTTTACAATTTATTTATTTTCATAAAAGCAGCATTTTTTTTTCTTTTATGGCCAGGATGTTAAATAGTCTTGATTATTTTATTTTCCTTTCCTTCTGGAATGAAATGTTTTGTTTTGTGGTGCAGGAAAAACTGATGTGCCCTCCCCCTCAAAACTTTTAGATCTCAGTATATGAAGTCTCTTCTTATACTGTTTTTTCCGTTCCACAGCTAACCGTAAAGCATCAATCAAAATATTTTTGTTATTTTGGATGTTGTACTGGCTCAGTTTTACCAGTTTCTCAAAATCCTCTCCTGAATATTGCAGAGAATTAATATTATAAGGACCACAGGTACTGGTAACATCAATATCACCATCATTCATCTCTTCAGGACTACGCTTCACACCTATGATTTTTCAAAAGAAAAAGAAAAAAAAACAGATTGGTCGGATGCAGAAAATATATGGTGATTAGTCAATTTATTTTAGCATATGTTTCTCTCTGAGTTAAACTGCATTAGATGCACGAATTGCTGCACTTTGACTGTACATATATTAGGATCATGTCAAACTAACCAAGCAGGAAAAAGATTTTCTTAGCGAGGGAAAAAGAAAGATTTATGGCAGAAAATAGCAGAAAAAATATATTGCATCCAATTTAATTATTTAAAACAGTGGTAATAATGAGTTGCCCTGGTTTTTTATTCTATCACATTAAATCTTAAAGTTAAAAAGAAAATAAAACTTTTGAGGGTCTCCCTTAGCTGCAAAACATTTTATTGGAGAGAAAGGGAAAGCACAATTTTTATATCCCCACTTTTCACAATTTGCAAATCAACTGTTCCCTTTAATCCTGATACCAATTTTTTTCCTCTTCTGTATTCCATGAGTCTCTGGATCTCGCATTTGTTTAAAACACAACACCAGACATAATTAAAGGGAGTGGGGGGGAAGTAAAACATACATTCACACACACACACTTACCGGGTTCTTTATAATTTTGGAAGGTATTACAAACCAGGGGATAAAGGAGAACTAATGGAATATTTGGACCTTCTTGATCTCCTAGCAAATAGCATTCCTTTACATCTTTTTCATCTTGTTCCTGTGGGATAACTCTGGGAAAAGGAATTCCTTGTTCTGAGAAATAATCTGAGGCCATTTGCAGAGGCTGTATATATTGGGGAAGGGGGGGGGGGGGCGTAAAAAAAATATTATAAGTATTTTTAAATAAAAAGTATTAAAACCTTATCATAGCTATCTCACAAGGGTTCTTATGAGCTACAGTTGGTTTAGTAGCTCAGTTCTGCAATCTCTAAAGGCTTATAAACAAACAAACAAGGTATGAAATAACACAAAAGATGCTGATTGTTATTTTTTTGAAGAAGAAGAAAAATGGGTGCCTAAACCTCCACAAAACCCATTTCGCTCCTTAATCCTGTTCCCCCAAATGTGAAAAAGACACACCAGATTGAATATTTTGCTTTGGGCACTCCAATAATGTCTCTCTGAATTAGGGGTTTTCCATTCAAATGAAGACAAGACAAGACCCTACTGATTTTAGGTCCTGAGCCTGGTCATTTAGAGGGCAGCTGTCAGTGTGTACAATGTGATGTGGCCTTAGAACTGAGGTGTATTGTGTACCTCTGCATACTGGGTAGGTTGAAATGTGATTGAATTCTATACCCATTACAGTCTTTATTCAAAACTTTCTAAAATACCAGGGGATTGGGAGCAATCAAACCAGATCTCAGGGAGAAGCTCATTTCAGAGGGCAGGCCTTGCAATAGAGGTGTGCTCTTGGAATCCTGATAGATGGCACTGTTTAGTCAAAGGAATGCATAGCACATCATCCCCGTCAAATCAAATGAGCTGGGCAGATAATATGGGAAGTAGCAGGTGGTTCCTCATGTAACACGGAGAACACAATATTTGGAAGAAAAGATGCTCTGATTTAACATTCAATCATTTTCTGAGCCAGTTATCATCCTTTAAATTGCAACTTTGTTGGGCCTTTCTTCAATCCCAGAATCTTATTTGTGTGTTGTATAAACCAGAGGACAAAAGAGGGCACTAGAAGTCAAGAAACTAACATAGCTTAAATTGTGATTCCATAAGATTAGCAACAAAGGCAAAATTTCTTATTTATTGGCAGCAAATAAAGGTGGGAAATAAAGGTTTCAGTAAGTTAATTGGCCCAATTGATAGTGCATCTGTCAAAAGTTTGTTTTAATTAGTTTCTCACTTTCATGTGAGAAATGTCATGTGGCAGAACAGGAAGCAGCTGCAAGAATAAGATTCCTGCTGAAGAGAAAACTGAGTTTTGACAGTCAACTTCCTCTTCGCATCAGAAAACAACAGGACTTATTAGCACAATTGTTGAGAATGGAGTGTCATGTTTCTCACCCGCAATTGTGAACCTGAGCTATAATTTAAATGTATGAAGACATCCACTTTTCTCTCCGGCCTCATAAGTGGGGGATAGCTGGTATCGAGGGCAAATGCATTATCCACTAGATACAAATGCTCTTCAGCTCCAGTTAGCTGGTTAGGAAAAGTGTCAAGATCACAATCTAAAGGGAATATATTAAAGGTTAAAAGCAGGCCTAAGAAAAGTTTAAAAAAATAGACACAATCATGTAACTGCAGCTCAGGAGGGACGATACTCTTATTTTTCTTCTATGCAGCGGACAATTAGGTATCTCTGTTCCAAATATCTGCCTTTCAGTAATTTGATAAAAGAATCGATTTCATCTATCAATCTAGCTTTTGTAAACAAACAGCAAAGTCTCCAGTACATACTAAGAGTATCATTGGAGTACAAGCTCTTCAAAAAGATCTTTAATTAAAAGAAAACTATACCTTTCCAGTTTGCAAATCCACTCTCTAAATAGTCGTTGTGCATTAGGCAACCTCTCAGAAAATTGGGGACCAAAGACACAGCAGGTCGCCACATTATAACATCTTGCAAAGCGCTGGCAAGGCTTCCTGGAGGATACTGAATCCGAACAGGGAATTTATTTGCTTTTGGACAGCACATAAGCTCTTCTGCAGACAAAACAATATACATTAAGTGCATGCAGGTTTTTTTTTAAAGGCCATACCTATAATAACCTATTGGTATAGGACACTTGAAATGTGAATGGAATGGAATGGAATGGAATAGAATAGAATCTTTATTGTCACTTTAAATGTACACTAATCAGCTTACGTTAAAATGAAATGTTATTGCATTCAGCACTCAAAAGATAACCATTATGTGCATACGGACGGACACACACACACACACACACACACACACACACACATATGACACAGAGAAACATCACAGTCTAGTGATGATTGACTGACTTTTTGTCATTTCGTCTGGACTTTGTGCTAGTTCACTTTTCTCTCTTGTCTGGGCAAATTTTAAATAATCAAAAATAATCTACACAAGAGTTTCATTGCCCCAAAGGAGTTGCGACACTCCTGTTTTACTTTTTTAAGAAGCAGAATACTGCACAGGTATAATTTAGTGTTTTGCTTTCAGCAATGCGATCTTGATGAGCTATGATATTTGTCTGCATGGAAAAAAGTTTTTTCCTAGACCACCTGCATCACCAAAGTTTTTTGTTTCTTTGGAACAAAAAAACCCTGTCTGATCTGTAGGTGTGAAATTCGTTTATCCAATGTATTGGCCACCCATCTTAGCACAGGGTAACTCTGAGGGGCTTACAATATTAACAATAAAACTATACAAATAAAATGCTACAAAAGTATATAAAATACAATAGCTAAAAGATGGGGAGATAGGGAGTAGGATGAACAGTGGGGAGGGCGGTTTCTGATATTAAACTAACAGCCACCCGCAACATGAAACCCATAGAAAACAGCTGCATTTATTTATTAAATTTATACATTGCCCATTTTATGTAAATGACACTAAGTGACACATACTGAAAGTGCTGGCCCACCTAATGTTATTTTTGGCAGCTACTATAACTATTCTCTTACATTTTTTCAATTGCACTGAAGGCCTCAGGGACTGAAGTGGGGACCTTCTGCAAATAAATATAGACCTTTTAATGCATTTCATACAAAGGGAGTGTAGAGAACACTATTACTACTTGAGAATAGGAACACAGCATGACAGGAAAGGGACTTCCCAGTACCATTTCAAACAGATAACCTAATGGGTGGTTTTGAAAGCCAATCAAAAGGCCAGCAGGACTGGGTCAAATCTTGCCTTTTCTGTTTCCCCACCAGAAGTCAAGGCAGTTTCAATCCTGATACCAGAATGATAATGGATTTCTTACAATTATTATTAATTCTGGGTATTTGTACCAGCATCTTAAACTATAAAATATTTACCAGATAAAAATACAGGAGGGATATAAATAGCCTCAGTCCATATTATCGAACAAAGTAGGAGAAGATCTAAAAGCATCTTACCAATTTCAGTTATTCTCTCTCGTGTCCAGATCTGCCAAAAATCTTCTGAATTGGTAGCCAGGAACCAGCCATCCATAATGTTCACAGAAAACACACTACTCCAAATTCCTGCAAGAGCAAAGACAGGATTGCTTTTGTGAGACCTTAAAAACAATTATGATTAAATGATTACTTCCCTTTTCTACTTTATTGTTTCATAATATAATTGTTATATTTTATAGTAGTGAATAATTTGGCCACGGTTATGTACACTGCCATGTTATTTTAAGGATTAACCCAAAATGTTTTTGTTTGTTTGTTTGTTTGTTTATTAGTTTGTCGAAAATGTACAGGATAGTATAGTATAAGTATGAATATGGACATGAACAACGGAAATGAATACAAGTAAATGGGGACAGTAGGGCAGGGACTCACACTTCAGCTGTGAACTGATCTGTGCAGTGGTGGGTTTCAAAAAAAATTCGAACCTACTCTGTGGGTGTGGCCTCCTTTGTGGGAGTGGCTTGCTAGCCAAGTGACCTGGTGGGAGTGGCTTGCCGGCCATGTGTTTTCTCTCTCTCTCTCTCTCTCTCCCTCTCTCCTTCCTTTTCTCTCTCTGTCTCTTTTTTCTTTTTTTCTTCAATCTCTCTCACTTTTTCTTTCTTTTTTTATTTATTTCTTTCTTCCTTTCTTTCTCTTTCTCTGTGTGAGTCTGTCTTTGTGTGTGTGTGTGTGTGTGTGTGTGTGTGTGTGTCTCTTTGGTGGAACCTCTTCTAACCGGTTTGGTAGATTTGACGAACCGGTTCTACCGAATAGGTGCGAACTGGTAGGAACCCACCTCTGGATCTGTGCCTCAGGCAGGGTTTTACTCCCTAGAATACTGCATAATACTGCATAAATGACTCCTTGAATTTGTTAGGCAGTTCTTTTATTCATTAATTACAAAAATAAATATATGTTTTTATACACATACAACTCCATTCTCGTAAATCAGAACAGATCAAGTAATACGGTATGTAATCATCGTTTACAAGTAGCACCTCGTTTTGTGAGATTTAATTGCTTTTCCATGAGAAATGAAAACTTTTATTTTCAATTATAGTGTATTTTTGCTGCAACCAAGAATACAGGATGCTGCTTATTCCAAACAACCAAACACTGAAGATACTATATAATGAAATGGTTGTATATCCTTAATTAATTGAAATGTGCTAAACAATGGATGGATTCTATTTAAAGCCTGTCATCATTGTGTATCTTAAAGTACAGGGCGGGGCATAACCTTTTCCTAGGGGGTCACAGCAAGATCGACAGCAGTTTACAACTTCCGCGACACCTCATTTTAAAGCCCATAAAAAACTGAATTGAATGAGCTATTAAATGTTAAATTTGCTTTAAGAATGGCTGGAAAATTCGATTCGGAAGAACAAAGGATCATTGACAGAATAAAATGCATTGCCTTTCGAGAGGCTCGCGATGCTGGAGCCAGATCTCAATTCGCCAGATCTCAATCCGGCAGAGAACATTGGGGCCATAATTAAGGATGAAGTGGAAGCTCTGATGATTCAGGAGCAAGGTCAAAATCGATATTCGGTTGAAACTTTGAGAATGAATTTGGAAACTGTGTTGAAAAATCTGGAAAATCGAACGGAACTGTTTGAAGATTTGTTGTGTTCTTATCCACCTCGTTTGAATGCTGTTCGAAGGGCTAATGGTGGTCATACTGACTATTAAATCGTGTCAATAAACTCAGTTTTTGATGGGCTTTCGAATGGTGTATGAATTATTTGTGTTGTTATTACAAGTGTTGCTGTGACCCCCTAGGAAAAGGTTATGCCCCGCCCTGTATAACAAAATTAAGAAAATATAAGTTGATATTTGAGATGTGTGCAAAATGTATTATTTACAAATTTTAAAAATCATGGAGATAACCTGTTACAGTCATACCTTGGTATTCGACTGCTCTGAAACTTGTCAAATTTGGTACTCAATACATTTTGCTGAGAAAATTTGTTTGGTACTCAAGCTAAAAGTGTTGGTTACCTCATGACTTGCTAACCATTCTAGTCACGTGGTAACTCTTGCCTTGTGCCCTGTTAGCCATGTGGTAACTCTTGCCCTGTGCATATCTCCTTGCAGCCTAATCTTAGCTCCTGTATTCATTTGTGTATTTTTTTTACTCATCGGTACAGGTAAAGTAACATTTTTATTTTATTTAATCTAAGTATTTATTAATGTTTAGATTTATTTCTCATGTAAAGTAATGATATGCAACCCTATCTTTTTACACATTGCCTTAAAAATGTGTATTGTCTTTGGTTTGGGAACACATTCAATTTATTTATCTTATTTCTTAAGGGAAAATTTTGTTTGGTACTCATCATTTTTGGTACTCGTCGTGTCTTTCAGAATCAAAGTACCACTACATTTGGTAAATTTCAGTGTGAGCTAAGGTGGTATTCAGCAGGTTCAATTCAACAATTCAGTTACCTTCTAAAAAGCAGATGCGTGATTCTGGGATCTTTTTCATCAAACGACCCATGAAGAATTCGCTACCAAAGTCTTCAGCATGAATGTAGGCACCATATTTTTGGAATCCAACTTCATATGGTGTGAATTCCAACCATTCTAAAAACAGAGACATAAAAGCATACTATCCCAAAAATGGTACTCATAACAATTTATATTATGTTTTTAATTATTTATTTAATAGGTTTAAGTATCTGCCCATCATGATATAAGCCTATGACCGTATTCAATGTATACATTTAATAGGAGTTATCTTTAACACATGCCATACATCAGAACTGGAGAGAAGCAACCCTAAGTATTGGTAAGGAGTAAACAATTGGTGGACAATTCTACATTTTCAAACTTTGTTAGAACATGCTGATCAGGGCCGGAGAAGTTTGCATGAGCTGGGAGATGGGGATCCTGGGGGAAAAAAAGAGTTTTGTGGTTTAATTCTATGCCTTTCTGTTAAAACAAACTGAAGAGAGTCAAGTATTCTAGATCCTTAGTGTCCAAATACGTGATAGCCATTCCTGGAATATTTGATTTAGAGAAGCAATACAATCACTGGGTTGACCAATGCCTAATGAACTTTTTAAAGCACCTTATATAGGGGATGTCTTCCTTTATAAGTGGAACTTTTTTCCCCACCTTGCAGTGGGGGACTTTGGCATCATCCAAACTTCTTCAACCATCTAGGCTTCTATTTAAAATCTGTAAACCTGCTTTTAAATTTATTGACTCTTATATAGCTATTTACTCATTTATTCATCTTTGGTGCCTTTGAGTCAGTCTTGACAAGGCTCTGAAGTTTTCCTGGTAATGTTTCTTCAGAAGTCGTTTGCCGTTGCTTCTTCCTAGGGCTAATTATTTCTGAATCAGATATTTGCAGCTCTTGGTTATGTATGTATATTTCCAAATGTAAGTGCAAGTTACACTTACCTCTGAACCCTCGATTACTTAGTTTCTCTTTCACATTGAGGCAAAGATATATAGGTAGAGGATTCTGTCCATCAGCTAGGGCATGCTGCTGATCTGAAAGTTTGTGAGGGGTTTCCTTGTTTGTGAGAGAAACAAGAACATAGTTATTGTAGCTGCTAAATACATAAAAAGCTCACTTAGCATTTACAACATCATTGAGGTGCTTCTTTGAACTGAAGCCCACCAAATATTTCATAATATGCTAGAATATTTAAAGCAATTTTCTATTAAATTGTTCATGGAAAAATTGGATTAAATATACTGAAATGCAGACACATAATTCAAAGTGAATAAGATTTAAGGATATAGTAAGTTTTCTGAACTGGAACTGTGCTTATATTATTAACATTCAATTTTTTAGAAGCTTGAAATGTATAGTTTGGCTAAGGTGACCAGATTTTCAGATTGGAAAAGAGGGACCCCCTTGACCGGGGGGGGGGGGGGGGGGGGGGGG